TGTTCAGAAATATATTAAAGCACTTCATCTGTTAACACTTCAATGAAGTTTCCAGGCTGATAACTTGGTTTCAAAAGGGTACTTCATCCTATTAATCCTCTAACAAGCTTATCAAAATATAAGGGGAAATGTAAGTGTTGTCATGAGGTTCTTGATGCAGCTTCCTAGGTGCTGAGGGGTAGAGGGTTGCTTAATGTAGCAGTGAAGCAGCCCCTTCTCCTTGATGCAGCTGATACAACCGCATCATCCAAATATGGCACTTTGACTCAAACATCTTCTCTCAAAACACTCAATAGCCAATGAGTTATCTAATGTAAAGGAATCTGAACCAATATGATCGGTGAGCTACTTATGTTTAAGCAACAACAAACTTGAAAAGACTACCAACTAAGATCTTGAGCTTAACCATTAATACAATTGATTGTGAGAAGAATTCTGAATTCCAAACCATTAATATTTTTAAACTATGCTCTACAGTCTACACATACTTATTTGACATGTCTATAATTAAATGGCAGATTCACAGCGACGGACCCAGAAATTTTTATGATGGGGGCGAAAATTAAAGATTAAAGTTACAAGTATTATTAAGGCTAATAGGAGGGGTTAATTATTACAAGTATTTTTTAGGGAGGGGCTAACTATTAGGATTAATAGTCCACTATTATTAAAAAAAAGTCATTTTATATATATAATAATAATAAACATCAAATTTAGGGAGGGGCGACCACCAACCCTCGCCCCTCCATTGGGTTTGCCACTGGATTCACAGCAAGAAGAGAAACACACTTGAGCATAAGAAATTGTAAGACCTGGTTTTCACCAAATACGATTGGGCAAATAGAAGCTCTTTATCATTGTCGGGATATGAAAGATTCTGTCTTTCTTAATAAGATTGATGATTGTAAGGAATGGTTGCATGGAGAGATGGATGATCCTGAAAAGGAATTATTATTTGGAGAATCGGAGATGATAACTTGACACAGTGGATGTTGGTGCAACAGCTGGTGTTGGAAAGCCTAGAACATATATGAGGCAAGGGCAAACCCTAGTTTACAAGGTTCCCTGACTTTGCGAGGGTAAGGTTGCATAAAAATGCAACCTTATCATTTTTGCAAAGACACTGTTTCCCGAACTTGAACCAAGACCTTCCGGATATAAAGGAGCAACCTTACCACTGTTGATAATGATTTTCTTTTTTTCTTGCCTGGAACATATATTGGGCAAGAAAAAAAGAAGATCAATATCAATAGCCACTAAATCAAGAGACATTCAAGGGGAAGAGGCCGACTCAGAAAACGGAGAATGAAGAAATTAAGGGCTACAGATCTGCTCATGGAGATGAGAGCAGTGATTATGATAATGAGATATAGATTGCGACGACGATGACTTTCTGTCTGAGGAGTTAGGACTTAGGAGACACCATCTTATTTAGTCATGTGTCCTTTATGACTTGACTTGCATTTGGTTGTTGTGCACTTGTATTATTATGTTTTATTATTGCCTTTTTTGATTACTTTCTGTTTTTAATCCATTGCCAACTTGTCATAACCTAATTTGTATTTAAATCTTATTTTTGGGATGATTTCTAGTTATATGAATAATTTTAGTTATTTTTGAAAAAAATATCTACATTACTTCGATGATACACCTGCATTGCCTCCACGCATCTGATGCAGTTTGAGAGCTTGCAGCCTCAACCTGCTTTTCTCCTCCCAACAAAACTAATATAACCAAGCAATCATCTTTTACCACATAATCCTTTTGAAATATATACATGTCATAATTCTAGCTAGTTCAGTGAATGGGCTTAGACAAAGCTATACCCCTAGATGATTAGCATTGTAACAACATTATGCAAGCATATCAATCAATGGAAATGAAAATGAAGGCAAGTTAAACGCAAATTCTATACCAAGTTTACATGTAAACAAGCGTAAATCTACAATACACGAGGAACTGTTTCCTTTTCATTAAAATTGTTAACCTTCAAGCTCATTTAACCGATGCTGAATCTGACTTCGATATCGGTTTTTCCTAGCTTCCTCCAGCTTGAAACCTGACCCACAATCTGGACGTTGCTTCAATAATGCATCTTGAAGATCTGCTATTAAATCTTCTCTATGATTCCCTACATCGCCCTGCATAAAGATTAATGAATAATAGAAACATCATTGTATAATTCTGATCAGAACTTTTAAATTGCATACAAAAAAACTTGCGACACACAACAGATAATACGAATAATCTAGAACCAAACAACAATAGCAGTGCGCAGTTAGGTAAACAACAAGAATACAAATTGGAGCTGAATACATGAATGACGAACATGTAAGTAACATTACGGATTCCGTGAAGAGAAGAGTCCAAACACGTCGCCATGGAACAACAAAACAAACCGTAATCGAAGTTCGAAACACGAAAACAAGCGGAATCAGAAGAATAAGGAAAGGAAGAAGATGAGGAGGTACATGGTTGTGATAGATGGAAGAGACGGAGTTGAGGAGGTGAGAGGGAAGAGGGAGGTCGCGTGAGAGAAGGTTGATAGCACAGATGAGTGTCTTCGCGTGAATCTCCTTCTCCTTCTCCTTCTCATTCTCATTCTCCTGATCCATCACCAACGCGATGGCGGGAGCGTGTGCAACGGTTCCTTTTTTTTTTTTTTTCTTTCCCTTTCTTTCTCTTAACCAATATTTGAAATTCCCAATCAATCTCTGACTCTCGCTTACAACTCACAAGCAAACACACTCTTTTAATTTCGATACTCCGCGAAACAAAGACAAACCCTTTTCTTCGCCTCCTTTAGGTATTTGTTTTTGGGGATGAATTAATATTATATATTGCTAAAGGGGCACTCCTTTTATTTTACTTGCTGCCAAACACGGCTCTACATTAATGTGCAAAGACCTTTCTGCCCCCTTATATTAAATGCCCTTTTTATAACTAAACATGTAAAATTATGTTTTTTTTAATAGGAAGGTTATTATACTTATTATTTTTTTTTTCTATTGAATTTAATCGTTGATTTTCGTCAATCTAAAGTTATAATTTATTGAGTTATATTTATTAATTAATTATTAATTTTCAATAAATCATAATCGTTAGATTGACAAAAATTAATGGTTAACATTTGACAGTAAGAGGTAGTAAAAAAAAAGTAATAAGTAAAACATCTACTGAGGTGTTATATTTACTACTGAAAAGAGTTTTACTACTCTTACTATTAAACTAATTACCGTTGATTTCCGTCAATCTAACGGTGATAATTTATTGGGTCATACTTATGAATTAATTATTAATTTATAATAAATTATAATCGTTAGATTGACAGAAATCATAGATTATTAATTTAATAGTAAGAGTAATAAAATTTTTCAATAATAAATATAATTTCTCCCGTATTCTCCAAATTCGTGATAAAACTATAATTTTTATCATAAATTTGAAAATATTTAATGTGCACTCGGTGCACAAAAAGTGCACAAAAAATTCAGTGGGCCAAACTAATAAAAAACTTGTATTTTCTGAAAAAGTTTGTAGGGAAGAGAGAAAAGGCAAAACTTTTGATTCAAGTATCATCAATTGAATGGGAGGTCCACATTCTTCCGGTTCACTAAAAACCTCCTTCATAAATTTAGGCCACTACAAACTTTATAGTTTATATGTTAAAGTTGTAACTAAATGCTTTATATTGTCGCACTTCTCAGAGGATGCATCTTTTCATCAAGAGAGCGAATATTCAAATTTATAATACAATTTTCAGAATACAACAAATGACGAAAAATATATAGTATTTATTCACTAGATCATAATTCCTCAGCCTTAAAATTCAAACTGAACAAAACTTAAAAGCAAACTGAAGAGAGCACTTAGATAAGATATGGAAAAAAAAAACTTTGTTATTATAATTTAAAAACAAAATTACTCATTTTAATTACGAGAAAAGCATCAAAATAATTTTTTATATTTTTTCTTTTAAAAAAACATTTAACTTTTAAAAAATTTTGGAAAATTTTTTTTAGTAAAAGTTTAAATGATATAAAATTATATTGCCTACTAATTTAATCTTCCTACATTACTATCACTTCTGCTTATCTAAATTAATAACTTTTTTTTTTTTTTGATAACAAAATTAATAACTTTCAAGTATATTAAATCCCACTAATTTCTCTATTTTTCTTCAATCTTTTCTCTCTCTTCAAGTGGTGAGATGTGGTATAATTAAAAGCCATTGATTTAAGGAAAAAGTATGTATCATTTTAAATGATATAAAGTTATGTCATTTTAAGTGAGAGAAAAAGATAGATAAAGAAAGAGAAAAAGTGGACAAAAAATATAAAGGAGTGAGTCCTACCTCTTTGTGAGAGTGAAATGACATAAATTGTGTCATTTAAAAGAACAAACACTTTTCCCTTGATTTAAATATCATCTAATGGTACAAAATAATAATAAAAATAGGAAGATTAAACTAATAGGCAGTATCATCTTTCCCTAATTTTTTTTTTTTTTCTTAAAAAGAACAAACAAAAAGAGCCCAATCAATAGCACCCAAAATGCATATACACGTTGCATTCTTACTCGGCTGTTATGTCATTTGATTGTTTAGCATATTGAGGCTAACACGATCATCTATGTTGTCAAAATCTCAATTTATTACTACAATGTTATAATTTTATGATTTTTTTTCATTAAAATGATTTTACCAATATTCCAAATGCTTTTACGTTTTTATAATTTTTTTTGAATTTTTTACATTACAATTTTACATTTTACGACTTTTTAGTTCCCTTTAAATCTTAGTTAAAATCTCGATTTTAAGAATCATGCATAAAGTTACATTACACAGAGTCATACAAGATTACTTTAAGGGTTTTATTTTTCTTATGTTGCATGAGACAAGTTGTCTCATGCAACACACAAAAAGTGGGTGGGACCCATTAAAAAGGAAGAAAGAAAAAATAAAGAAGCGGGTCCCACTTATTTTTTGTGTGTTGCGTGAGACAACTTGTCTCATGCAAGAAAAATAAAACCCTTACTTTAAACATCTATTCATTCCGATGCAATAGCAGTTATCCAAATGATTCAATAGCAATTCACATGTCTAAATTACATATATAGAGGCAAGTTTTACAACCATGGTATTACAACTTCCAAAAGAGTCTCTACGCAGAACCCAGCAACATAATGGCCAGTTTGGGATGAGGTAGAGGGGCAATTTTCAATATTTTTTTTTTTTTGAACTACTGCCCGCGTCTCAGTTTCGGCCATCATTTGGAGAATCAATGCCTGAACTATATAAATTTCAAGACCACAACAATATTCAACCCTGCAATGCTCGGTTGATTGGTTCTTGGAAGTACTGAAGAGAGATAAAAATAGCCTCCTATTCAAAAAGATGAAAATTAAGCAATGACTAAAAACTGCATAGACAATTTACAAAAAAAAAAAAAAAAAAAAAAAAAAAAAACTGCATAGACAAGAATTTAATATAAACAAATCGACAAGAGAAAGATTAGGCAGATTAGTACCTCTGTTCGAATTGTTCGGCTCCCCTGATGTGGACATGTATTTAAATATAAATTAAATACATCCTGTGCATTTTTTCCCTGCATTTTGTTTTAGAGTGGCAAGAAAATTTATACTTAGCTCCATAGTTCTTCCTTTTTCTTACGTAAACTCTAATGAGAGTACATTATGAGGATATCCAAAATTGCTCAATATTACAATCTGTGTACATAATTCTAAATGCTGAATTAGAATGAAATTAGTAGATTTTAATTTTTACATGACAATAGAACCTAAGAAAGACAAACATATCATAGGAAAAAGCCCAAATACGTAGAAAGAAAGTCTCAATTATATTCAGGATTAAGACCTACACAGTTTTCCTTTTCAAATTTGTATCGACATCAATATCTTTATCCCAAACTAGTTAGGTTCCACTTCAAATTTGTATATCACACAGAAATATAACAATAGACAAAGGCATATTGCCAAAGATTCCAGCAAATTTATGAAATCTCTGATTAGCAGTAGCCTCAGAAAGGGAACCAAATTTACAATCGCATTCACATATAAATAACTAATTGAACAATGCAATACCTTCAAGTTATTATCTTCTTCAATACTTTCTTCCAACCCAGCCAGTCCACCAAAGGCAATCAATAAATGTCTACAAATTTCGTGAAACAAGCAATTAATAAGTCAATTCAAATGAAAATACCTTGCATCATCACAGATATATTTTGTTAAAAAATACTTCAAATTTAGTCAGTAGCTGAAGTTCAAAATAAGAAGTTACACCAAAAAAAAGAAACCTAAACAGGGATCCATTATACATGACTCAAATTTATAGTTGCAAAGTCCATATTATGATAGTAAGAAACCATTTTCACAACAAACCAAAGACCCCCACTCCCAACACACAACTGTATAGCATTTCCTGGTCCATATCTGTCCAGATTCCATATTCTTTTCAAGCAAATTTTACAGGAAGTAACGAAGTCATATTCTTGAGGAGTTGACTTGCAGTAACTTTATTCCGACGTGAACTCTTGGAAGCAAGCCATAGTTTGTCATCAATATCCATATGAACATTTCTCATTTTAGATTATTATGTAAAGATTTACAAAAGAAAACATGTTAATAGGAAGTCAAGGAGTGACTTTCAAAACCCTCTCTTAGAATTGATAAGTTTTAAAATTATAACACGAGTACCTGAAAGAAGGTATTACAAGATCAGATGACTTAAGAATCTGACCATGCTCAGATGTACCAATTACATAATCATAGCCACCCTGTCATAATAACGAGTCAACAAAAGAAGAAAGGGCTCATGAATAGAATTAGAATGAAACAAGGAATATTAGAATATGGACACTAGAAGGCAGAGATTTTGAGTGCTTGAAGTGGGAGATACCTTGTAAGCACAATCCTTAAATACTGAGCTAATATTATGCGCATAACGTACTTGGTATCCCCAATATGTTCCTTCTTCCCTAGGCTTGGATGATGAGACAACCTGGCGTGGTAAATCTAGATGAAGTACAGCATTGTAAATCAGCTTAAATTCATATAGCCAAGATGTTGAATATGTTCAGCACTCATCTTTCAATAACTGTATGACTACACTTCCTCAATGATTACCTCACATTTTACTTTGGGTAATCAGTTGGTTATGTTACAGGAAAAAATCTAAGTTTCCTGCAGACACATGAATTGATGGGCTCCACCAATATAATAAATCAAAAAACAAAATAAAATAAAGCACGGCTTTAATGTGTCAGCTGGACGGATATTTTTCTTGGCGATAACAGGAGGGAAACATCCCCCTTTTACTTTTCTCGTCATAAATGCAATTTCCTTATTAATAGCTCAATATGTAATCAAGGTGCAATGATTCCTTTCAGATCTGTGATAACAGAACCTATGTTAGTTATGCTGAGAAAAAATATTTTCACATGCACATGAAGTATTTGATTGAGATGAAAATAACAATTTTTTACATTATTTTCAAATATATTTAACAGGGATATGCAGCGATATCATAGCAATAATAGGGGCATCCCATGCTATGATTACTATAAAATGTTCTACTGACCATATGGCAGAAACTTGAAATTTAAAAAAAAATGGAGAAATTCTGGAATGAATTTTAATTGTAAAAAATATCTTTCAAAATAAAAAGAACCTTAAATTACCATTATGTGTTATCACGAGGCACAAAGGAAGAATGTCAAATAGGAAGCATATTTCTCCAATCAAGAAGAAGAAAATGGTATTTAAGTTGACACGCGCGCGCTTACAATAAGAGGGGCAACACCTTGCAGGAGCTGAGATATGACATTGTGACAAACAAGACAATAGTAAAGTTTGCACAATCAAAGGTACTGTTTATCGCTAATATAATATGGTACAATTTACATAAAGAAAGATAATGAAACATCTCTAGCAGAACTACATAGAAACGATAAGCAAAGATCAATTCATTACCAGAATCCACATTGCGGTTGGCACCCATGGCCACAGTAACTCTTCTTCGTGGTTCAAGTATTTGGTCAACTACAACATGCTGCATATGTTGTGTACTGAATCAGCAATCATCCACAAATAAACTCATGCCTAATTAATAACCATATTAATAGAAAAGAATCTGAACACAAGTGATTTAATCTATGCAATGTAATTGACAATCAAGAACATTACAACTTTCAAATTAAAATGGAAGAGAAGGAAAGGAAATTGTAAGAGAAAGAGGGAATGCTGTGATGGCAGTTTTGGACATCCATCATTGAACTTGCTTCATATGCCAATGTCCAAACAACTCCATGGCAAACATGAATGAAAATGCGGCTTTTTCACCCTTTTGCCCTTTATTAATTAATTAATAACCATTTTGCCCCTGATTCGAAACTATCTACCAATCTGCCCCTCTTTAATCGACTACCTTGCATTTTTAATCGACTAAACGGTTGTTGGGAGATTTAATCGACTAAATCTCTCTACTTAATCGATTAAAATCATACTGACTTATTTTTTTTTTGTAAAATATGAAGATTTAGTCGACTAAATAGGGAGATTTAGTCGACTAAATCTCCCAGCAGCCATTTTTTGTCTGTTTTGGTCATTTAGTCGATTAAAAATGCAAGGTAGTCGACTAAAGAGGGGCAGATTGATAAATAGTTTCGAATCAGGGGCAAAATGGTTATTAATTAATTAATAAGGGGTAAAAAGGTGAAAAAGCCATGAAAATGCAGATAAGAGTATAAGTTGTCCTTGGGGAGGATGTCATAAGAGAAACAAGGGGAAGGAAGGAAAAAAGAAAAGAGAAGAGAAACAAAAGGGAAGTATTTATTTATATTTTTAAAAAAATAAAAATGCAATAAGTTAAGCTTCAGCCAAGTAATCTATGACATGTATACCCATACCTTAGCTAAACCAACATCGACTAGTGTAGCCACAGAGTTTGAATCTCTTTCTTTTATTGTGACACCTATGAAGTTATTGCAATATATCAAAAACTGGCCAGAGTAACCATGGAACAAAAAAAAAATGCAACAGCAATGCCAATGCTAAAAATATTTCTGCTTTAACAGTTTTTTTTTCTTTGATAAAATAACAAAAGACAGAAAAAAACAATGGAGTTCAAATAAAGAGGATAATATGTCCTCTTAAGTCTTAAAAAAGGCACAAGATCAGACACACACAGAAGAAACTGATAAGAACCTTGGGATGCACCACCCCCAAAAGCTAGCTCAAAGAGTGGGAGTGTCCAAAGCCTTATACACCCCACATTAGTTGCCCATACAACCAATATAAGACTTCAAGTCCCATTCCTTGCAAATGGGATCGTAACATTCCACCACGCTCCGCAGCCCTGGCGCCTACGCGGGCTGGATTTGCACTAGTCTTTTACTAGCCCTGAGCGAACACTGCAATGCCAACGTCACTACCCGCGCCGCCCGATTGCAACCAGGAGACATTGTGGAAGGCTCTGATACCATTTGATAAGAACCTTGAGATGCACTACCCCAAAAACAAGCTCAAAGGGTGAGAGTGTTTAAAGCCTTATAAACCCCACATTAGTTGCCCATACAACCAATATGGGACTTCAAGTCCCATACCTTACAAATGAGATTGTAACAGAAACACACAAGCTAACCAATACAATAAAGATCACCAACCCTCACATATCAATCAAGGAGGCCAACAACAACAACCAAGCAGTATCCCACTAGGAGAGGTCGGATAATGAATTAATCAACACCATTGGACTCCATCAAAAACTAATTTTGCAGTTAAAACATTTAGCGTAAGGCCCTTTATAATGGTCTTCTCTCTAGTTTTCTTCGGTTTTCTTCTACCCCTTCAAACTGAACTTTCTTCCATTTGATTTGTTTTCCTCACTGGAGCCTCACTTTGCACACACAAAAACTACCATGATCTCCTTATTTGGCATGCTAATCCAACTTTCTCACAAATAAATGCAGTCCTAATCTCATCTTTACTGGGATGTCAGTTCTTTCACCTCAGTATTCTCGTCTCTACTTCACTTATTTTCACTCTTGTTAGTGCTTCACTGCCCAATATTCACTACCATAGAACATCTATAGTCTAATAGCTGTTTGGCAGAATTTTCCTGTGAGTTTGATAGTTACTTTACAATCACAAATTACAACCCAGCTGCATAAACCACATTTCAAACCTTTCCATATGACCATATCTTCCAATTACTCTCATGAAAAGAAAAATTTCAGGTTAAGAAGAGAGGGCAAAAGGATATGAAAATATTACTGATATCCATGAATTTAACCAAAAAATAAAAGAAAAACAAAATGTCATGATTAAATCTAAATGGCAATATAACAAGGGGTGTCAGCAGGACCCACTGGAGCATTAAATAGATTGAATATTTTGTCCCAAATATAAAGGTTCTAAATTAGCAGTGACTATCTGTCCTATCCATCTAAAATGCATAAGTGATGGGTTATAAATATACGATGGAAATTAAATCATTCTTCAATAAAATTTTTAATATATATAAATGGGGAAAACGTTTCTCCTGTCACAGAAGATAAAGTTATCTCCTGCAGCCCAAAGCGACGTATTTTAAAAATTTTGCATTCCTCTTTGAATCATGAATTTTACTAAAATACCATTTATTTTTAATCTTTAACCCTAAAACTACGTCATTTTGGGGCTGGGGGAGATAACTTTATCTCCTGTGACAGGAGAAACGTTAATCCCTATATATATATATATATATATATATATATATATATATATATGATTTTTTTTTCATCCGCCACAAGAAATGACATTAGAAATTTTACTAGAATGTGGAAGCCTACCTTCCCGGTATGGACCCCACTCATGTTTGCGCAAATGGTGTGGAGCATCAAGGGGTGGCAACAGGCCCTGCAAAGTGCAATACAAATAACAAAAGTTAAGCATTGAACAACAGTCAACAAAAAGAGGGCGAGCCCGGAGCAATGGTAAATTGCACTTCTATGACTGAAAGGTTATGGGTTTGAATCCAAAATACAATCTCTTTGCAAATACACAAGAGTAATGCTTACAAGGATTGCCCTCACTCTATCCTCGCCAGACAGGGTTTCAAGTGGTTTAGGTTTAGTTTATGTATTGAGTAGCAGTCAACAAAACTAACAAAATTAAAAATGCAGTTGATGAATTGGCCCAACCACAAATCTTAGGCTGTTATGCATTGGGAAGAGAGCCTTCCTCAAATACTGAGGTGTCTCAAGATACTGCAAGATTAGCATGAGAATAGCTGCACTACTTTCATCATCTGAGTTATCCAGCATGGAATCTTTATCTGGGTTGTTTTTATTGTCAATCACAACCACCTATGCATACAAAAAACAGTCATCTATATCAGCAATATGGAAAACTATGGAAAAATAAAATAAAATCACAGTAACATTAAAAAAAAAAGTAACATGTGAAAATGTAGACAGCAGCATTAGCAACCTCGTTGATTCGGAAAATAGTTGCGGCACGAGCGATTTGACCAGCCAACTGAAATGGAAAAAAAAACAAAAAAAAAACAAAAGAGGAAGAATATTCAGAATGAAGAGGCAACGAGAGAATGAAATAATGGTCTCTTGAACTGAAGCATTATGTTTTTGGTGTTCGAAATTATAGAGATTCCCGGTTAGGAATTCCGAAAACCCAGGTATAGATTGAAGGCGAAGGGGAAGGGTACCCACCCGGGTAGCGAGCTCGAGAGTTGGAACGTTGTCAATGATGGAAGCAGGCACAGCTATGCTGACTGTGGGTATCTGGCTTGTCTTCTTCTTCTTTAGCTTCTTCTTATTGTGAGAATCATCACTGTCGCCATTTTTGCCGTTCAGTTCTGGTTCGACCTCTGCATATGTTCTCTGCTGCTTCTTCTTCTTCGCCATTGAAGGGTTCTGGGAGCTCCAATTTGGTTACATTCACCTTTTATAAATTACTTTATAAATTTGTACCAATTTTTTTTTTTTAAATCCTAAACCCTAAATCTTAATTATCTTATTAGGCAAATTGGTAACATCACAGTTAAAATTCTTCTACCCTTATTGATCGAAATTGATTTATTTTAACTTAAACTTGAACTAGATAATAAACGAGCTGGATCCTTAATGTTGTGATAATAACTTGATTAGTCAACTCAATATATTTAGAAAAATTATACATTGTGCGAAATTAATTCGTAAAATTTTATAAATAAGAAACTAAAATTAAAATATTCTTAAAATATATTTTTCAAAATGAATTATATTATTTTTACTTATAATATTATGCAAAGAAAAATAATTTAAATAGAAAAATGTTATACTTTATAATTAATTTAAAAAAAAATTAAAATATTATGTGACTTTGAATTTTATGTTATTTTTGGTATATTATGTGACATTTAATGAAATCAAGGTGTGACCCTATTCGAATCAAACCCAATTAGCTTCAAATTGGGATGGGTTATCAAGACGAGCCGGAACAACCTCAAGTGCAATCCAAACACAACAATATATTTGTCTAATTTTAAAAATATAATTTAATAAACAATTACACCAAGCTTTAGAATTTGATTGTTGTTTTTTATTTTATTTGTTTCGTTATAAGTACATTACCTTTTTATAATAAAAAAAAGGAAAATATACTCTTATGTTGTAGAAGAGAATTTATCTCTCCTACACATACATCGATTTTCGTGTTACTTTTTTTTTTTTTTATAGTGGGTGAGTCTTACACATGATTATCTCCTCCGAAGCACGGACACGGGTTTTGGAGGGGAAAATGCGTGTCAGACACGTGTCGGACACCGACACGTTCCGACACGCGGTCAACGTATTTGGACACATTTTGGGACACGTTTTGATATTTTTTATAAAAAAAAATAAAATTACAATTAAAAAAAAATAAAAATATTTAATAAAAATTAAAAAGTTTAGAAACAGAGAACCCTATCTCGTATTTTTCCTGTCTTCACGCTGGAGCTACTCCTCTTCTACGTCGTCGGCCGTCTCATCTTTGCTTGCTTGTTGTCTCTTCTCCGATCCGAATCACGATCTTGATTTCAACTGCTTCTTCGTTGTCTTGATTTCATAGTTTGCTCCATTTCATGCGTGGTTTCTTTGTTTGCTCAAATTTGTGTTTTAGAATTTGGGGATCTGGGGTTGCTTATACATATTATGGTTTAGTTATAAAATTATTAACTTTTAGAAGCTTAAATCTAGCTCACTTGGCTTTTGACCAGAAACTTAAGTTTAATTTATTATTGATGTTCTGGATTCAGAGTATCTATGTTCCTGGGTTTTGATATGGTTTTTTTGTGAACTTATGTTTTAAAAATTAGGCTCATATCCCTTTTCTGTCTTGTGTATGATAGTAAATTGCAATGCATATCACCTTGAAGTCTAAAATGCAATCATCATAGTTCCTACAATGCTTTGTTGCATCTGAATGAAGCTACCTGAGTTTTTGTTTTTATTTTTTATAACTTGTGTCGGTGCCTAATAAAAAATGATAGGTCTTAATCAAGAAAGCAATTCACTTGTAACTCTTCTGAAGCAACCCCTGTTTTTGTTTTCCTTCTTGTATTGCTATTTTCTTATTGCTGTTTATATAATTCTTTTTTCTCGATGAAATTACATAAGGATTTGTAATTCTTTTTCATGTATATGTGATAGGCTGTGTTGGCTGAAAAACATGTAGAGTCGATTGTACGAGAGTTGGAATGATTTGCAGCAACCCCAAATTGACTACTATTGTGTTATGTGTTATGTCTAGATCAAACAATAACTCTGATATACTTATTGCATTAATTTTATTTTTATTTGACACATTTAACTTCTGAGTGGTCTACACTCTACACTCTTGGGATGTTCTATTATTTTTGCTTAATATTTATGTTATGAAATTTGAATATTTAATTAGTTATATGACTTATTATGAGTTGCTATATGTATTAAATGTAAATTATATTATATATATTAAAAAATTTATTTAATATCAAAACGTGTCCCATCGTGTCCAAATATGACATTTTTTAGAATTAACGTGTCGACGTGTCGTGACGTATCGTGTCCCGTGTCCGTGCATCATTGATTATCTCTATTGCACGAGAGAGTTCTCTCCTATTGCATGAGACTAATAAAGCCCTAAAAAAAATGCTTAAACAAGGAAGTTTCTATGTATATTTTTTATTTTATATAAATACACATTACATCTTTTATAATGAAAAATGGCTGAAGAAGAAGGATAATTCTTACTAATAATTAAAGATGTTCATGGTTTGACCAAACTGATTTTTCTTCTAAACCAAATTGGTTTTAAATCGGTTTGGTTCAGAGAACTAAATTATTTTATTTAATCTAACCAGTTTTATTTTTCTCAAATAGGTTCAAATTAGTTTGGAGTCGGTGAATGTTTTAAAACCAGTTTAAAACTTATTTTGATATACAAATTAATTCTGAACTGATTTGAACCGGTTTTCCAAACCTATTCTTTTTTTTTTTTTTCTTTTTTTGGAGTTACCCAACCCTAATTACTTTTTTGAGGCGAGTTGGCTCCTTCCGGTATCTCCACCAGCTTCGACTCTTTGAGCAGGCTATGGGACTAATCCGGAGTGCGGGAGATCAGTGATGGCTAAAAGTTCAGCTCCCTCCCCAAGAATGCATTCAGCAGGAATCGAACACATGTCCAACCCCACTAACTCAGCACCAAGTTACCAACTGAGCTGCACCCATTGGGTCCAAACCTATTCTTTTAATTTGGTTCAATTTTTAAATTAATTTAAAAAATTAGTTCAGTTTTTAAAAAATATAATTTGATTTAATTCGGTTTGATTATTTTGCACAGCGAATCAATCAAAACTTATAAATTGATGCCTCTACATGGAAACGTGCCCAATATATTCCTCGAATTTTGCTATCAAGTAGCTTTCAACAGTAAATTGATCAAGCATTGTAATAAACGAATATCCCTCAGGCCTCAAGTACATACGAATCTCTACACCACCAAGTTTTTTATTTGTTACCAAATGAAAACTGCTACTTTCCCCTTTCAAATCTTGTGTACTCCTAATGGAGTTTCGTTGAAAACTTATCTTAGAACATTATAAAATTATATTTATCTTATGAGTAAATCACTTTATTATTTATGTTTTGGTATTATACACGGACCCGTATCCAAGCAACCTAGAGTAACTAACAGCAGCAACCAATGATTTGGATTCATGTGATGATTTTGAGAACGGAAAAGGCAACACGTTCCAGGGAACAAAAATTATATATTACCATTACTGTAAAACTATTCCTAATTCATACTAGGATTGAAATTTACAAGAGAATCAGGTGAAGGAATCAAAATCTAAGAAGATTACAGAGGTATTATCCTTCGTTCTGAGTGTTTTAGCCTCACTTAACAAGAAATGGGCAATCTTTTCTGCTGAATTCTGTGTCTCTCTGGAGTGTCTCTCCCTCATCTGTGCAGTTCAGAAAGCACAGAAAGGAAAGTGTTAGCAAGATTGTGGTAAACTTAACAAAGTAAACTAAACTAGAAACAAACAAGTATTTTGAACAAAACCTGAAGCACTAGCTGAATTGCCTTTTTCATGCTGATGACATCCCATAATCCATCACTGCGAATTTGCAGACGCCATAGTTAGTTATCTTCAACATGGTCAAAAGCAAAATGGGAATGATCCCACAAAAATCCTAATATCGTTGCCAGAATCATGGTTTGAATTTTGCAAAATAAATTCAGTTATTTGACCAACTATTTCTAGAAAGAAATGTATCCAGAGACAGTGAACTATGATACCCAGAATATATATTTTGACATGAAATATTATAAAAGCATACATCGAAAACAAAATCACCTAGCTAGAATGGCGAAAGCCCTGCTTGATTGGCCAATATGCACGACTTCACTTATATGAGGCTCTGAACTGAACCGTGAATCCTGCTGTTTCAGGAATTTGTCCCCAAGCATCCTTGCAAGATTTATACCTGCATCAGGGTGAGAGCCAGAATTGGCCTTTGCTAAGTAAATATTTTAAGTCAGAACAGGTGGCTATTCTTTTGGTGAATCAATGTTTCTTATCCTTCATACCATATAGTCGTGTTTCCCCATCTTTCAATGGTTCACCCGTCTCTTCAATTCTTAGTCTTTCAGAATAATTTGCTATCTTATGATCTTCTGTCATCTTGAATTGCTTGCCATCAATACTACCAAAAATGAATTATTATGAGTTTTATAAGGGCATTAAAGTATAGCCACACAAGAATTCTAGTCTGCCTAAGCCAACAAAACCACACACCATATTAAAGTTCAAAAGCTACAGCTGCAGTCACTCAGGTAAGGACAACACAGGTATTATTACTGGAACAACTAATAACTAGACAAAATTATAGAACACGATGCAAATGGAAGAATTTAACATCTTCTCCATTAATTAAATTTCTCAGCTATACCTTGACTATTCCAGAGCCATTACTATTGGAAGGTTTTTCAGCCACAAAAATATTATCTATAAATATAATGCATGCATCTCAATGTAATGAGAAAAGTATTAATAGCACAAGCCAATATAACCGTACTATTTCTAATCTAATAGCCCAGATTCAAAATTCAAACATATCCCAATTCGCAAGCATTATAATTGTTGATTAAATAAGCATACCTCATTATACAGGCAGAGTCTCCAACATTTGCACATTGCGCAAAAAAGTTTCCATCACCATCAGCCCACACCAGGAGCACTGTTGCTGTGCATCCCTGCAAATTGTTTATCATTAAAATTTATAAACCGAAAAGGTGACTACCCAAGTAATCCACAAAGGTAAAGACAGTGTAAACAAGATCAGAGGGGAACAAGTAATACCTCATAATGGTGATTTATGGATGCTTCTGTTTGAGAAAATGCATCTCGAAGAACATCTGAAGCATCACGGAGAGATAAAACCCTCTCTCGTCTTAATGTATTTGATAATATACCAGCAATTATCTCAGGAAAAAGTCTGAAAAAAGGATTTGAAAAAGAAAAATTTAGCAATGTTTCACATATTAAAAACCACAACAATGGATAAGAAACTAAAATAGGCATGGCTGTCTTTTGTCCCCCATAAAATGCAACAATCATTATTAACAGAAGGTTGTTGGAATTTCGGATATTAAGGAATATTTTTTGGTGAATTTTTCCTTTACAGGTCTGTTTTTTTGTATTGGAAGTAGCAACACTCTTGGCATGCATCAAGATATAAATTTCATAAAAACAGCCGACAACAAACATCACGGAAAACCTAATGCAGAAAATACTAACTTGCTAGCAGATTTGGCAGCCCCATCTCCACCATGACCATCATAAATGCCAAACAGCCCAAACTGCAAATTAGGAATATAGACTGATCTGAGAAATACAAAACAATACAAGAGACGTTGACTGAAGAAGCATTATGAATATGTACCAAACCTGATCCAGTCCAGTTAGAGGCCATTGATAATAGCAAACATCTTCCATAGTCAACTTTTTTCCACCTCGATGCAACGTCATGGGATCTGATGCCATACCCACTCCAAAGGGAATGTGCTGCTGATTTTGTGTAGTAATATCAACCTGCCATAGATTAAAATCGCAACAGATTATATAGGCATGTTTAAAAAAGAAGCACGCATAAAATTTAATCATAGCATAAAAAACTAACCACAGTAGCATACTCATTCCAAGTATCACTCTGCAAATCTTAATAATATAGTGCCAAATAGACAAAAAAACTAGAACAATTAAAATTTACACTCACAACACAGACTTCCCTAAAATCTCATGGAGAAAAATATTTTTTGCTCAGGGGTCACAAAGCGAACATATTTACTATTAACAATAGATCAGAGGTGGCAGGAGGTTGAAAGAACAAAAACTAAATATCCAAATCAATCTAGCTAAAATCATTTTCTAGATACAAAAGTGAAACTTCTAATCATCAATCTATCTATCTAAAATAGAAACAGTCTCATTCTGTTTCATAACAATAAAGCCGTCCTCCCACATCTGCATGCATGACACAACACAGGTATTGGCATTCAAATAAATTTCTAAACAAAACCTTTCTTGTAAACAATGACATACGGATTGGAAAAGTATTCTTGGATTGTAGAGAAGAGCATAAAACTAAGCAATTATAAATACCAACTACAATTCTATTCAACCTGTAAAACCTGCAGTTATTCACACAGCCAATATCATGCATGCAGGCATAAGCTTTGCACCAACAATAATCAAAACATTAAAATAAGGCTCAATCTTAAAAGACATTTAAGCCTAATACTTACAATTACTTTTGATGTTGTTCCAAGTGTTATGATATCTCCATTAGCAAGATCCATTGGATCACCCCAATGCCTGCTTCCAGAGTCTGCGTGGTTGATTGGCCGAGAATTCAAAAGCGTTCCATTTAGGCTACCCATATCTACCAACTCCCATTTCATTTTCTGAAATTTCAATCTAAAATTAATTATTGCACAGCATACATCTTGAAAAATCCAAATGGAAGTCTCTAAGAATAGAGATTTACATCCAAATTCCACTTTATCAGAGCATGCTTTCCTGACACTTCTGAATCATTTATCAACAAATCACTTGGAGAAACTCTTCCTAAGGCCAGTGGTAGATGAGAGGGATTCGTTGACTGTACAGAACAACGAAGTCCACGAGAAGGACCATCGATAACCTCCAGTGTGAGGCAACTTCCTGTACTTCTAACATAAAGATATGATGACATGTGCATATTTAGCCAATACAAATTCATAGAGTAATAAACCCTTAATCAAAAAGAGTTAAGAAACTACTTTGATCAAGAATATCTCTTTGCACAAAGTCTTGCAGTCTATCATTTTCAAAATTTGCTCTGCTATGCTTTTGACCAACAACAACATCTTCTGAAGGATCAGAAATTACATCTAAAACTGAACTATCCCCTGGAAATAAGAAGAGAGCACTATATGACTTTGCAAAATAGTACAGCAGATAAAAAGCACTGATAGGAGTAAACAGCTATACTGAAAATTGGTAGGGATGGTAGGAGTACCATGAGGCGCATTAGAAGAAAGAGAAACGGCAGGAAGCCTTTGCTTATAAACAAGTTCATGGGTGCGAGGCGAGAGAAAATTACTTTCATTTGGATAGCAGGCACCCTCAAGATCATAATTTCGAGGCAATTCAGAGCTCTGGCTATGTGACACATTTATGTCATCTACAACAAGGGGCCTCTCCAGCTCATCAGCCTACAAAAGTAGGATTCACTGAGGGTTAAAAGCATAAGCTCAATTGACAGATCATAATTCATTTAACAAAATCAGAAGGCATACAACAATATTTATAAGTAGATTCCAAGTGAAGTGCATAAATTAACACAAATGGACATACTAGTGGCCACCAATGGTTTGCCCACTCAGCGCAAGTAGATGAGACGAGGGAATTTTTGCAATCGAGAGATACCAGATGCCATAGAGGAAAAACAACATGTCAAATCATGGCATTTGGATCCTTGAAAGGCAAAGCACAAGATTTGAAAAACTGTAGCAAGTTAAGGACACGAATTTAGCTATGCCAAAGAAACCTTCAAGGGAAAAGTGATCAAATCATCTTACATTGATCATAAACCAGTACAATAACAACTTGCTTCTTTCAAATAGCAACCTCACTTACAACAGCATTATACCATCATTCACAACAGACATAACTACAATACATACAAGTCACAGAAAAACACAACAAATGTAAAGTATACTTCATACGAACAAGTACAACAAAATTGAAACCAACAGCTGGTTCCTAAATTAAGCCTCAACCCCAAACCATCGGTGAATCAAATAACCACAAACCGATTACTTGAAAGGTTTGTCACATAACAAAACAGAGCATTGCAACCAAGAAAGTGTTAGGAATACCCAATTGTCAAAGGAAATGGAAAAATGGAAAATTGAAGGAAATAAGTTACTGGGTGTAGAAGAGAACCTTGATGGAGGAGAGGGAAGGGGAAGCGAAAAAGAAGCGCCATGGTTTGCAGGCGAAGAAGACAAGGATGATGACGAGAAGAAGCATAAGGAGAAGAAAGATAGTGACAATGCTCTCTCCCACCGCCATCTTCTTCGTTCTCTCTCTCTCTTCTCTCCCGAGATTGATTGGGTTTGCCTTTGCGACAACCTCGCCTTGAAATGGTCGCACTCTCTGTTTTTCTTTCATCTTTCTTTTCTTTTTCTTTTTTTTCTTTTTACTGCTAATTTAACTTCACTCGATTGAAATATGAGTTTTATTAATGTTATGCTACATAATTTAAGTTTTGTTTCCAACACACATAACAAAAGGGAGATAGAAAATGGAATAATGAAAGAAAAAAAAAATATGTGGACCCCACCTCTTTAATATGTGTGTAAGAAAGTGAAATTGTGTTATGTTACATGATAAACCTAAAACCCTTGAAATATTTGTTCCTAAGTTTTTTTTTTTTTTTTTAAATTGTTCCTAAGTTTTTAGTAACATGAGAGTTTTGTTTCAAACTAAAAAAGCAAGCAAACTTAATTACTAATGAAAAAAATTAAAATAATAAATTCTAAGAAACTCATAAGTAGTTATTATATAGGGGATTGTATGAGAGAAGTTTTCTCATGTTAAGAAATAAATAAAGTGAGTCCCACCAATTTTTAGAAAAAGAGAAAAAAAAAAAGACATATTTTTCGAAGGAAGAGTGACATGAAAGATCCATCTTATGCAACATAAGAGTATGATTTCCCTATTATATATCAGTTTTAAACTTTTAATTAGTCCGTAGATATTTTCATTTAAATATATTTATTCTCTTGACAGTAATGTTTAAACTCCAATGCAGATAACAATATAGTTGTACTTGTAATCATGTGGTTAACCGTTGTGTGAGTAGCACATTATGCATGGACACATTTTCTTTGACAAATAATAATGATTAAGAGTTAGTCTAGTATTGCTTCAAAATTTAAGATGACAAGTTTTAGAATGAGCTATTGATATAATCTTTTTGACGTATGGTTCATTTCATCTCTGTACTAAACTAACTCTATAAGAAATCTAAATTAAATTAATGAGCAGCTGAGAAACTGCACGTTACATGCAAGCATGTACAATTTTCAGATCCAAGAATCAGTGTGGATAATATTGGTGAAAGTTGGGATATTCTAAATTTTTTAAGCTTCATTTCAATTCTGTTTAAGTCCCGTTTCCCCCCTTCCCCCCAAGCATCAGTTTTTCTTTTTATTCTAAATTAATAGAATCGAATGTCAGAACTTTTTTTCTTCTAAAAAAATCAGAACCCAGAATTTGATTTTAAGTTTGCTTACCTTTTTTTTATTTGTGGGGCTTATCTAATCTCATGTTGCATGAGAAAAAAAATCTTATGTTATAAACATATAGTGGCGAGACCCACTATCTAACAAATAAAAAAGAAAGAAAAGAAAAATATTATACAGTTATCGAAGGACGTGTAAAAAAAAAAATTTACCTCATACATGAGAATCATTTTTCTCTTATTTGTGAATTAATAAAGTTGGTTATTAGCCTGTGGATTCTGGGAGATCTATTTTCGGCTTAGTCGGGCCTGGACTTCTCTTAAATCAAACAAAACTTGGACCAAATAGGCCAATTCATAAAGTGTAGAAATAGTTTGGGTTTGCATTCGTTTAATCGCATAATGTGGAGAGTATGCGACGCTAAGATTAACCATGGTTCAATTAAGCACGGCTAATTTACATTTGCCACCTTTTTTTTTTTTTTTTTGTAGTGCTAGGAAGACGATGGTTTGTGTTACAACACATTAATACGTCAAAGAGATTGCAACAATTTAATGAGAATTACGATCACGATATTCCTATTTGTTAATAATTTGTGTGATAAGAAATGAAAACACAAAAATGATTGTGAATTATGGCAACTTTCTTTGTTTTCTAGAAGAAGAAAAAATCAGGAAATAAATACCAACCTTATATACGAAATGCAACAGACTAATTAAACAAACAAACAAACTACCAAAAAAACAAAAAAAAATAAAGAAAATTAAAGTATTATAAACTTAAAGAAGAATTTTAGATAATATTCTAACATGAGAAAAAAAACCAATAAGAGGGAGTTGCTACGGTATCTTAATTTTTTTTCTAGTATTAACACTACTGCTAATGTGATTAGTTTTTAAACAGTTATTCATTGTTGATTTTTATAATGAATATTTGGAGTCTATTAACCATACACAACAATAAATAGATATTTGATAATTAATCAAAACAAGGGGGAAATGACATGGATATCGAAGTATATAATATGTTAACTATGATCACAAAGAAAAACATTAACTAGGCTATTGAGTAAATTCTCATGATAATTGGTTTGTGACGTGCGTACCGAACGCAGAGGATAGGTGCGGAAAAAGAAAGGGTTGGCTGCAGCTAATCTTCTCAGATTAACTTCATTAGTGTATTCTATTTTTCTTCTAAATTTTTTTAAAACTAGCATTAATTTTTAGTGGATATGAGTATCCAATAATATGATTTACACATAATTTTTTTTAAAATTAAATGGGAGAGTGATAAGTCACACGAGAAATAAATTAACTGAGGATTGGAAAGACCCTTATATTTATGATTACTTTGAGCTTTTGGTTGAGATTTAATGTCAAAGTCATTTATTATGATTTATCACTTTGTGTATTAATAAAAAGAAAAAAAAAATATTTCTGCGGTTAATGCAGGTAAGTTATCTGCATTTACTACCAAAACGATGTCATTTTGAGATTAAAAGATTAACAAATTATAATTATGGAGACTATAATAACGTTGAATTAAATTAAAATTACAAATATACCATGATTTTCGTCTCAAAACAATGTCGTATTGGGCTTACTGCAGATAACTTATCTACAGTAACTGTAGGAAAAGCAAACCCAAAAAAAAAAAAAAAAAAACATTTTCTCCTTTTAAAAGAATTTTTTTTTCTCCTACTAAAGACTCTTAGTATAAGTGGGGCCTACAAAATAGGAGAGAAAAAAAATTCAATGTAGAACCCACTTATACTATGAGTCAAGTAGAAGAAAAATTTTCTCATTTAAAAGAAAAAAATATTTTCCCTAATAAAAAATATCATTTATTTTGAGCTTAATTTCTCGAACGGCTTAACATATTTATTACACAATTTTAAGTTTTTAACACATTTTTTGACATTGTCATTCTCTAACTATAAGTGTGCATATAACAAATTAAGTCCTAAAGTATCTGCTTGTGTCGGCTGATTTTGTTGCCTTATGAGATTTTTGACTTGGATACGAAATATCTATGGCATCAACCTGCATATTCTTGGAGATAATTAGCGAAGTCATTTTCATCAAGTTCATGACTTCATCAGTTCTGTTGAACACTATATTTAGATAAGAATGAACAGGAGATAAGAGCATAAGAAAAAAAAAATTGATCCCAATCGAGGGTGGAGAGGTTGATAAGATGTTGTGCTTAAAGAGGTAGCCAAAGGGCAAACTAATAAATAAACATATGAAATTGAAAGAAGTAACTGTGTGCTATGATTTTTTTATTTTTTTTTCCTTTACACACATCTTCTAGACTTGTGATTTGCAAATGCTATGTTGTTAACGACAAGCTCTTGGCCACCGAATATTCTAAAAGCATGACAAAAAAGATTCAACTTCAAACTTAGTTATCAAAGGAAAGCTCAAAATGACGTCTGACTGCACAAGACTTCTATTACCTTACCCGTATTTGGCAAGCTTGGTTGACATATAGGCGAAACTGTTGTCGAAGAAAGTGACTAAATCATCATCAAAAACTTGAATCCGAATATAATAAAGAAAATTAAAATGAAATTATCAAACACAGGATTCCGAATGTAGGAAGAAGAATGAACATAGTATGCACCGATCCGTACGGACGGATGCGATCCGACCGGACGGACATCAGCGATGGTGCATATGGCAGACCAAAGGCCACTTAGCTTCTCTCCCTTCCACAAAATGTTTAGTGCCCCAAGAGATAATTTAGGAGTGTGAGATGAGAACTTATATACTTTCTTAACTCTTATTAATTGTCCAATATGAAACTTCTTATAACCCACGCACCCTTTCATCTTTTCTTTTTTTCTTTTTCCTTCCAAACTCCTTCTTATCCATAACCCATAAAGATTTTTATACTTAAAATTCTAACATAAACAAGTTTTATTATTGACTTAGCAAACTTCTATTGGTCCTACATATAGGTAATTGTACACCCAAATTCATCACAGGTAAAATAAAATAGGTGAATATATAACCCTTGATTCCAACACAGATTGCATATAATAAATGTCGAAAACATATATTTTATAGTTACTAATGGACACTGACCATCTTCTCTTATGTAAGAATACCCCAACTTTTTACGAAAACAGTAACACGACTGTTGTAAATGCTATTCAATTAAGTTTAACAAGAAAGCATTTAAGAGTGACGAGATTAAGACACACATTTGAAAACTTATGTAGTTGAACTATTCGTGAACTTGTCAAAGATAATATTGGGCAAAAAAATTAATTTAATGCTTTTTAATAAAATAATTACGCATTTATTACAGTTTTGAGAATAATTACAGATTTATTGTACAATGTGACGCTCCTTTTGGGCGTGACATGTGACGCTCCATTGAGGCGTCACTCATCAGGTGTTGACACGTGTCATATTTTTTTTCCAAAAATAACAATCATTTAATCATAAAACTTTTGAAGGCCATAACTTTTGACTCAGGTATTCAAATTAGGTACTTTTTTTTTTGATTCCACATAACTTTTCGAGATCTACGCAATGACATCTCATTTGACATATTTTATTTCTCACAAACACAACTTTAATTTGCAAGAATGATATTTTAAGAGCGGATAAACCCAGAAGCCTCTAAGTTCTGGATTTGTGATTTAATATAAATAAATAAATAAAATTTTGATTTGTGATTTAAATTTTTTTTATAAATTTTTTTTATTATAACAAAAATTTGGTTTGTGATTTAAATTAAAAATAAAAATAAAAATTATTATTAATAAGAAAAACAAAATAAAAATTTGATTTGTGATTTAAACTAAAAAATCAATTTGAAAAATCTGTAGAAATAAAGCAAATAATTAAATAAATA